CAGGTATATATATATTAGTTAAGCACGTGCTGACTAGTTAATTGATGCATTCATTGTTTTGGTATATGTACACATATTAATTAACTCTTGTCTTTCTTCCTTTTTCTAGCCCTCCGGATCGGGCACAACTTCGGTAAGGAGACAAGGACCGAAGAAAAAGTTGAGCTCAGATGAAAAGTTTAAGATCACAGCAATCGCGCACGACGACGAACCGATTGAACCCATCCGGACAAAGAACGCATTTTCTGCTCAGTGCGGGGTTCTTGTTAGGGAAAAGATCCCGATCAGCATCCAGCAATGGTATAAGCCTAAGGAGGAAGATCCTGAGGTGTCTTATGTCAATGATATGCAGAAAGACGATCTTTGGACTCAGCTGAAGGCAAATTTCACCCTACCGCCAGAGGAGGATCCGGAGAAGCCAATTAAAGAGCAATTAATCAAGTCTTGTGCTCTTAAGAAGATGGCAACCCTATTCAGGAGGTGGAGGAAAGAGCTAAACAAGTTTGTCGACAAAGAAGAGACACCAGAATTCATCGGCAAATATGAGAAGATCAAAGATCACTGGCCCGCATTTGTGGCCCACAAGACATCGGAAAAGAGTAAGAAGATGTCGGTGACAAACAAGCAAAATGCAGTTTCACCATCGCACGGGGTCAGGTGGCTACCTCAAAGCCCGGCCTAAGTGGTACAAGGCTGAGAATGATCTGCTTAATAAAGGGATCGAACCAGAGACAATGAACTGGCCAGACCGTTGCCGAACTTTGTTCTTCAGGGCTGGCGGAACCTTGGACCCTGTATCAGGGAAGTGCCATTGGACGGACGAGCAACTGAAAATACCAGTCAAGAGGCTTCGGCACTATATCAATGCAGCGCAGCAAGGGACGTTCGTTCCAGACAGGGAGAAGGACGAGCTCATAGTGGCCCTCGGGAATCCTGAGCACCCTGGACGGACACGAGGCACGCCAGGCTCCATTCCGTGGAAGGTTGGTTTTCCGGAAGCAGGGGCTTACAAAACCCACGAGAGGAGGAAGAAACTTGAGAAGGGCCAACTGCAGGCGCTGCACGAAAGGGTAATGGGGCTAGAGGAACGAGAAGAGGAACGAGAAGCAGATCGCAGCAAACCACCTGCCGAAGCTTCCCCCGAAGCTACCCCGCCATCTCAGCGGAGAAGCAGCGTGGCTTCCACCGAGCTGCTTCAGCCGGAGCATGTCTTGACGGCTCCTACCAGCTATCCCGTGGATGCTATCACGGAGTCTCAAAATTGCCACATTATGATGCGATGGATGAATTTGAAGGTCAAGGCGACTGTTGGCTCTGTTTATCCTACTGAACCGGGCGTAACTTTTCACTGCCGGCCGATTCCAGAAGGATATGCTAGGGTGGTGGTGTATGAAATAACGGAGGGATTTGAGGACCTCCTGCTTGACCACCCTACCGGTGAAGGGGAGACTAGGCTGGGTTTTGCTCTAAAGACTCCATGCTTATGGCGGAAGGAGCTCATCAACCTTCCGAACTGGACACCTCCGCCTCCTCCTCCTACTCCAGTGAGTCAGGGCACTCTGCCTCCTTCACCGCCTCCTCCTCCGGCGCGTGAAGATTAGGGCACTGGGCCTCCTTCTCCGGCACGTGGCGGCACTCTGCCTCCTTCTCCGCCTGCGCCGGCGCGCCCGAGCAGCCAGCAGCCTCCTCCTTCTCCGCCGCCAGCAAGGGCGGAAGAGACCCGCCGCCGCCCCGGCTGCTCCGGCGTGTCGTAGTCCTTCTCCTCCGCCTCGTAAGCAAGCACGAAAGAAGACAGACGCCGCAGCCGCTCCGTCTGCTCCGGCGTCTAGCAGTACAGCCAGAGGCGGGAGGCAATACAGATACGGTCCACCTCTCAAGCATCTAGAGAAGTTACCGTACGAGAGGACCAAGGAGGAAAACGCGACGATCGTGCGGACCCACATGAAGGACTTCTTTGAAGTGGTGAAAGCAAAGAGACATCCACCTCTGGAGGAGAAGGTAGATCCGGTGAAAGCAAAGGGCACTCTCGATGCCCTGAGGAAACCGGCAAAGTCTCCGCCGAGAACCAACTATGAGCGCATTACTGAAGAGACATATCTCCAAGCGGAGCGGTCGGGAAGTACTGTCAGACATCAAAGGTCAAGAGAACGAGCAGCTGCGAAAAAATTGACCAGCTCGGCGAACAAGCAAACCAATCGTGCCCCCCGCTCAATGTGTCTAGCGGCAATATCGTCGCTAATGCTCCGGGGATGGTGGCCGGTTATGGCAATCTATCAGATTACCTGCCTGACGATCAACTTCCTGATTTCATGGAGGTGGACGAACACAGATACGAGTACGGGAAGCCTCTCTTTAAAGATGAAAAATTTCTAACAACGATGATGCAAGATTCCATAATTGGTACATGAAAACCTGCAGAGAGTCTGGGGGGACGAATAGTTTGTATCTGAACATTAAAGAGGAGCACGACCTCGTTGGAACTGGTCTGTTGTGTGTTCCATTTGAGGAGTTCTTCGCGTTCTTCAATCAAAAGGCCCTCGATAAATTAACGGTCTTTTGCTACTGCCTGTAAGTACTATTTCTATCATTAAGTCTCTATATATAGCTCGGCTCTTTCATTGCATGTATTTATAATTAATTATCCTCAATATATTATGCAGATTGAAGATCGTCGAGTGCGAAAAACAAAAAATATATGATATTGGGTTCATTAACACAAATATCATAGACGATATTCAGGTTAAAAGGCACGCCAAAGAGGCCGAGGCCAACTTGCTACAATCGTTGATCAAAAATCAAAACAAAGATACCATACTCTTTCCTTACAACTTCAAGTGAGTGTTACTGTCGTGTGCATATTCGGTTTCCCCTGTTACTCGAGCGAGGTTATAGTAATATAATTAATGAGTTATGCATGTGTGCGCAGCTTCCACTATGTTCTTCTGGAGATTAAGCTTGAGCGGGGACTAGTAACCATCTTAGACTCGAGACGAAAAGATCCTGAAACGTATGCGGACATGACTGAATTGCTCAACTAGTAAGTTCAATCGATCATTATCACACCATATCGGCAACTTTTTTTTCATTTCCTGATATCTCAAGTAATAATTATTATTTTCTTTGTCTTGCAGGGTTTGGAAACAGTTCACCACAGAAGCTCTGGGACTGCCGAAGGAGCTGCGATATACATACCCGAAAGTAAGTACTACTGGCTAGCTAGTTGCGCGCATCTCCCGTTGATTCTATAGCTATACTTTCATCAATGCCATTTATAATGCTTCATTATCAGTTCGATTGACCTCTATTTCTCGTAAAGTGCTTGTGGTAGGAATAAGGGAATGATTTCTGTGGATACTACGTGTGCGAATTCATCTACAATGCGACTTTGAAAAATAAGCGGGGCTACTCTAAAAGACAATATGAAGTGTGTAAGCAATAATATTCACAATTTCATTTTATTACACCATCATTTCTGTTGAGTTTCATTCATATATATGTATTAATTATCCCCCTTCTTCAAATTAGACGTGGAAGATGCGGAATGAACTCCTAGAACAAGATCGCATGAAAGCAATTCAAGAGGAATTGGCGGGATTCTTTCTTGACCACGTCATCAATAAAACCGAAGAATACCATCTGGAAGTTGATTTCAATTGCCAGGGGATTGTAATTAAGAGATCTTATATATTGTATATGTATGTAGCCAGTAGCGTCGGATAGATAATACGAAAACGTGTTGTTCGACCAATCTCTCGGAGAAGGAGAGGTCGATCGATCACTTCTCTCGGTATGCATGACGAACTTCTGTACTTAATGGTTCCCTTCATTTTCTTACTAGCTAGCGTGTCGAGGGCCTCTCTATGTATAGTACGTAGCGTCGACCAAGCACGGACATAAGAGAGGACACTTCTCTCTATTAATTAGCTAGCTAACACAATATATGAAACACCTAAATTAACCCCCCAAAACCCCCAAACCCCCCCCTTCAAAAAAAATAAAAACCCCAGCCACTGGAATGCTGACGCGTGGATGCCTTTTGGTCCCGGTTGGTGCCACCAACCGGGACCAAAGGCCCCCCTGCCTGGGCTCGGCGCACCGGCCACGTGGAGGACCATCTGTCCCGGTTCGTGTTAGAACCGGGACTAAAGGGGGGAGGTATTAGTAATGACCCATTAGTCCCGGTTTATGAACCGGGACTAAAGGCCCTTACGAACCGGGACAAATGCCCCCTTTTCTACTAGTGATACAATGGTTGATAAGATAGTTTTATCTTAAGTCTTGCATGTGATTTAGAGATGGCAAAAAAATTTGTCTACAATGGGTCATCTCTTAGCCTTATCTTCAATAACTAGCAATTCCTAAAAATGTGGTGAGACATATTGTGCTAAGAGATCACCTCTTGTCTTCTCTTAAATAAGAGAAGACAAGCCTTTTCTTATGAGATCTCTCTCCTCCACCTCATCAGCTATCCTACGTGGCACTTCTAAGATAGCACCATTATACATACCCTCAAAAGGGATCCTGATAAGTGCCACACGTGTGGCACGAAGCAATTTGACCCTGATGTTTTTTATGGCAACTTTAGTTATCCCAAATGGGAACTTTATTTGTTAAGCATGGCAATTTTCTATTTAGATGGCAAGTTTCAGCTTTTTGGGAGTTTCGTTTTCTTATTCAGATGACAATTGTAGTTGTAAAAACTTCAGGGGTGTTACTTCATACAACACGTGACACCTATCATTTGGGTTTGCTTTTGAGTAGTTACAAAATGCCCTAAATCTAAAGCAGATTGGATGGCGGTGGGCCGGAGCCATGGGAAGTCGTCGTACAGCCCATGTAAAAGTCGGTAGCCCTCAAAAAGAAAAAAAGTACAAGTCGGTTTGCTCAATTCTTTGCAGCTTTTGCTAAAAGAAAAAAAACACTTTGCAGATAATAAAAACTGCCGCGTGCGCTTCTCTTGCAGCCGATTGATCGATCTCCAGCAAATCCGCGCGATCGACATGGAAACCCGAACGGATCACCAACCACCATCCGGCGATCCTTCGCCGGGGCGACCTCGCTGGGTGTTGCTCGAGCGCCGGGGCAACCTCCGCGATGCCGATGATGCCGACGACATGCTCTGCGAGGATCCCGACGCCATAGCAACACCGAGCGAGGATCGTCCCGACGCCATAGCAGCACCGAGCGAGGATCATCCCGACGCCGAGACCGTGGCGGAAGCTCTGGCCTCCGGAGGGCGTCTTGTCCGCGTCTCCTTCCGCTTCGCGGCGCCGCCGGCAGTGTCACGCCTGCGGGTCGACAGCCCCGGCCTGCCGGAGGGCACCCAGATCCACGTGCAGATCATCGCGGCCCACGGGGACTCGGTCCTTATGGAGATCAAGATCAGCAGACGTGGCCTGTCGTGGAGTATTGACGAACGCGACTCGTCAGATTACTTCGTCTATAATGCCGGCGATGCCGCCGCCGACCCACCCCGCCCTCCATCGCTGTCGCTGCTACCCCCATGGCGCGAGGGGGCCCCCTTGCGGAAGCGATATATGCCTGCCGCATCCACTGCCCTCCTGCGCCGAGGCGACGAGGACCTGCTTGTGGCGCAGCTGACTCTCTGGGGTACGGAAGGAGAGGCGCCCCTCGAGGCCGAGCTCTGCCTGCTCAGATCCGGTCGGTGGGACTGTGAGCTCAAGCGTCTGCTGGTCCTCCACGGCGACAGCAAGCGGCAGGAGTTGTCCTTCTGGCAGACGGACGCGGTCATCCCCGTCGGCGACCGGTTCTTGTACTGGGTGGACTACTACCGCGGCGTCATCTTCTTGGACGCGTGGGAGGAGACGCCCCAGCTCCGATACGTGTCTCTCCCCATGGAGCCGCGGCTGAAACGCCGGCAACACAGCGGCGGCTCGAGCAACCGCCACATGTGCATCCTCTCGGACGGCGGGGGATCGGTGAGATTCGTGCAGGTCCTTCCCCGCTGCTGCTGCGGCTGCCCGGGCGCCACCTTCTGCTCGCGCTCCCGCTACGCCTTCAACATAACCACGTGGACGCTGAGGATGGACGACATGACGACGTGGGACAAGGTCGGCGTGGTCGACTCCGACGAGCTCTGGTCGCTCCCCGGCTATGGCGGCGTCGTGCCGCGCATCAGGCCGCAGTACCCCATCGTCAGCCTGGACGACCCTGATGTCCTCTGCTTCATGGTGCACAAGTTCCCATACCATATGGAGGACGTTGACGGCGACCATACGATACGGCTGATCGAGGTGGACACCAAGCGCATGGAGCTGCGGTCCGTCTTCTGTTATGGCGACTTCTGCTCTTCCCCCGACTTCATCCCCTGCATGATCTCCCAGTACTTCGCTCGCAGCCGTCCTCCGGCAAAGCGCCATGAGCAAGTACCGACGGCGGTGGCGACAACAGCAGTTAAACTCAACTTGTCGGCCATGGCTTCTCCTGGGGAGATGTTGGCGACCCTTCGGGAGATAGGTGACCTGACGCCTGATGACATGCTGAGAATGTATAGCATTCTTTCGTGTGATGGGAGCCAGCTCAAGTTCAGGTTACTTTTGGCACTTCCCAAAGACATGAGGAAGGATTACTGCCTCGTGCTTATGGAAACCCGTCTTTAATTAATTTCATTCAACAAAGGTGCGTACATACATACTCATGATGCGATCGCCATGCTTGGCATCTTTCTGAAATAAATACAGCGTGAACTCGACCATATTACTCTCAGTTGTGTACTCGCAACGAAATTCAAATGTTGGTAAAAGTTTCCGAATCATATTTGTATTTTGCTTTCTTATTCTATAAGATATGTATCTTTATTTTTGAATTATATCTAATTTATATTAGATCAATAAAGCATTGGATATAAATAGTCTGGACACTTGACATAACATGACCTCTGAAAAAGTTTGCACACTTTTACACCACCACATAATTAGCTCCTCGACATCCTTAACATGTTGCCACTGGGATCGGAACAGTATACATAGATGCAGTTTAGCTCAGTTGCCACTGTACATCAGATTATCCTTTGTTGGCATATAGGACCCAACAATAAGCTTCACCTTGCAGAATCCAAGGTTGCAAGTACCACTACTGGAATTTTCGTATATGCCGAGTGTGGGCGTCTTCACCGAGAGTCAAAACACGGGCACTCGGCAAACTAAACGACGCCGAGAACAGCACTCGGCAAACCTGGCCTCACGGCAACTGCTTTCTTTGCCGTCACTGGCTCACGTCGAACAAGCATTGAACGGCAAACGGCACAGACGCCGAGAGCCGCGCACGGCAAAGAGGAGCCACGTGGCATGTCCGTTCGCACCAGATGGCTCCCTCAGTTAGCACCAGACTACTCTCAGTAAACGAGCAGTTGCCGAGAGTGGCTCTCTGTATAGATAAGGCCACCATCAAAGTTTAGTCCCACATCGCCCCCCGAGCAAGTCCTGCACCTGCTTAAATACCTTAATCTATTAGATTGTTACAAGCGTGGGTCTTCCTTGCACTCTATTTGGAGGATATGCAAGATGAGTATGATTTATCATCTGTATTCATCGTGTATATTCTTCAAGTGGAGAGCATGGATGACTGATGTATTTTTTTGGAGCTATACTCGGATACCCGAGAGTGGATCTCGGTAAACGTGAAGTTGCCGAGAGTAGCCCTGGGTAAAGATAAGGCCACCATCAAAATTTAGTCCCACCTCGCCTATAGACAAGCAACACGACCTGTTTAAATATAAATAGTGGGATAGTCCAGATGCAATAAGATTTGGTATTCATTACATCCTTGTTAAGGAGATGGACTATTTTTGATGTCGATGGTACGATTGCTCGGGATCTGGCAGGGTGTCATCACAGGGCCTCTGTAGGGTGTGGTAAAAATTTGGACATGTTTCGAGTAAACCGCAGCGTCTCCGAGCTAGTATCTGGGTATCGAGAGGGAACGTGTCCGGTTTGTGCAGAAAGTGTTGGTCATGTTGCTCCGTTGGCCTCGAAACTTCTCGTGTTCTAAGATGGGGCAACCGCATTGTACGTGCCACGGCCTCGCATTTTTGGGGGACGCGCGCAATATTCAGAAATTTATTGCTCTGCTAGGGTTTCATCGTCGGAAATTGCAGATCAGCAAGGTGGCACATGAAATCATGCCAGGTAACAGCATGGGGAATCATTTGTGATGTCCTTGTGGCATGCCTACGCTTTGCACAGACGAGGGAGGGGCATGCCCTGCCACCGGGTTACCAAAAGTACCCTCAGTGTCATTCCTGATGCAATCGTTGAAATCCTCGGAAAATCGTACGATGGTAGGATTGCTCGGGATCTGGCACGGTGTCATCATAGGGCCTCTGTAGGGTGTGGTAAAAGTTTGAACATGTTTCGAGTAAGCCTCCCCTAAGGCCGCTTGTAAACCGCAGTGTATCCGAGCTAGTATCTGGGTATCGAGAGGGAACGTGTCTGGTTTGTGCAGGAAGTGTTGGCCCTGTTACTCCGTTGGCCTCGAAACTTCTCATGCTCTAAGAGGGGGCAACCGCATGTCACGTGTCATGGCCTCGCATTTTTCAGGGATGCGTGTAATATTCGAGAAAGTTATTGCTCTGGTAGGGTTTCATCGTCGAGAATTGCAGATCAGCAAGGCGGCACATGAAATCACGCCGGGTAACGGCATGGGAATCATTTGTGATGTCCTTGTGGCATGCCTACGCCTTGCACAAACGAGGAAGGGCATGCTCTGCCACCGGGTTACCAAAAGTACCTTGGTGTCATTCCTGATGCAACCATTGAAATCCTCGGAAAATCGTACGATGGTAGAATTGCTCGGGATCTGACACGGTGTCATCCCAGAGCCTCTGTAGGGTGTGGTAAAAGTTTGGACACGTTTCAAGTAAGCCTCCCCTGAGGCCGGTTGTAAACCGCAGCATCTCCGAGCTAGTATCTGCGTATCAAGAGGGAACGTGTCCGGTTTGTGCAGGAAGTGATGGTCCTGTTGCTCCGTTGGCCTTGAAACTTCTCGTGCTCTAATAGGGGGCAACCACATGGCACGTGCATGGCCTCACATTTTTCAGGGACGCGCGCAATATTCGAGAAATTTATTGCTCTATTAGGGTTTCATCGTCGGGAATTGCAGATCAGTAAGGCGGCACATGAAATCATGTCGGGTAACGGCATGAGGAATCACTTGTGATGCCCATGTGGCATGCCTATGCCTTGATTTGATGAGGGAGGAGTGTCATTTCCGAGTGCCTCTCTCGGTATGTTTGCCATTTCCGAGTGTGCTTTATCCTTTACCGAGCGTTCCTCTCGGGAAAGGTGTAAAACCTAGATCTAGGTCTCGTACCTTTACCGAGAGCCGCACCGACAGACGCTCGGTAAAGTTCGGCGAACACTTAACCCCCCTTGCGGTCTCTTCTCTCTATCACTTCTCTCTC